CCATTTGCAACCCTAGCTCAGGGTTTTTTTTTTTGCACATTTCAAAAGGAGTTTTTTTTTTCTTGGTGCAGTGCAGCCAGTGCAGCTTTGTTTTCAGTGGGTCAAACCACAATTTTTTTTTGATGCCATGACACAGGGAGGTGGGAGCATGAGGAGACTCTGAATCTCCTTGTGCTCCTGATCCCCCATCTCTGGATTCAGGCTGACTGCAGTTCTAGTCCCGCCACTGCTATTTTTTTTCTATCAGTATATTCGCACAACATTGTCACCCTGTCTGAGCCTCAGTTCCCACTTTTTTTTAGTGAGCAGTAACAGTACCCTTCCCTCAACTGGGCTTCATCACTTTCATGCCTTTTTTTTTTTTGAGACCCAGTCTCACTCTTCCCCCATGCTGGAGTGCAGTGGCACAATCTCGGCTCACTGCAACCTCTCACTTGAACTCTGCCTCCCAAGTTCAGGTGATTCTCCTGCCTCAGCCTCCCGAGTAGCTGGGACTACAGGCGCCCGCCACCGCGCCCAGCTAGTTTTTTGTATTTTTTTAGTAGAGACGGGGTTTCACCGTGTTAGCCAGGATGGTCTCGATCTGCTGACCTCGTGATCCGCCCGTCTCGGCCTCCCAAAGTGCTGGGATTACAGGCTTAAGCCACCGCGCCCAGCCTCATTTTTGTATTTTTAACAGAGACGGGGTTTCACCATGTTGGTCAGGTTGGTCTCAAACTCCTGACCTCAGGTGATCCATCCACCTTGGCCTCCCAAAGTAGTGGGATTACAGGCATGAGCTACTATGCCCGGCTGCTTTCACGCCCTTCTGGTTTCCAACTGCAACCCTCTTCATCACAAGTCACTGCCAACCCTTGCCCCCTCTTTTCTCAGAATATCCTCTAGGGGTACATGTGGGAGTGTGGGTGTGTATTTGTGTGTGTGTTTTGTTGTTGTTGTTTACCTAATCCTCTTACCACCCTCCAACTCTGTCTTCAGAGCCGGAGGCTCCCCACAGAAACCACAAAGGATCACTTTAAAGGGAAGTAAAAGTTTTTACAAGGATTAGGTGAGATAGTTAAGGTAAACAAATTTAAATAGAACAGTGAAGGTAAATGCATTCAATATGATTTAGGGAAGGTAAGGCATTCTTCAATAAACATGATTTTTGCTACACGTCCATTTGCAACCCTAGCTCAGGGTTTTTTTTTTTTTTGGAGATGGAATCTTGCTCTGTCGCAAAGGCTGGAGTGCAATGGCGCGATCTCTGCTCACTGCAACCTCCGCCTCCCAGGTTCAAGTGATTCTCTTGCCTCTACCTCCCGAATAGCTGGCACTACAGGCAAGCGCAACCATTTCTGGCTTTTTTGTATTTTTAGTAGAGATGGAGTTTCAACATGTAGGTCAGGCTGGTCTTGAATACCTGGCTTCAGGTGATCTGCCTGCCTTGGCCTCCCAAAGTGCTGGGATTACAGGTGTGAGCCACCGTGCCTGGCCTAGCTCAGGTTTTGAGTTAAGTAAGTAAAAGTTAACTGAGGCATAGTCCAACATACCTCATGTGGTTAAAAATTGTCAATGATGGTGAAACCCAACAGAGAAATTAGGGGCTTCTAACTATTTCTGCCAAGTCTTGGTTCTGGACTGATCTTGAAAAGCTTCTTCTGGCATAAATAATATAATGTGCCTTTCCTTCAACCGGGGCTTTATCACCTCTATGCGCTTCCAGTCCCCAACCTCAACCCTCTTCATCACAAGTCACTGCCAACCCTTGCCCCCTGATATGGTTAGGCTTTGTGTTCCCACCTGAATCTCAACCCGAATTGTAATCCCCAGGTGTTGAGAGGGACACCAGGTGGGAGGTGATTGGATCACATGGGCAGTTTCCCCCATGCTGTTCTTGTGATAGTGAGTGAGTTCTCAAGACACTTGATGGTTTTATAAGTGTCTGGCATTTCCCCTGCCTGTGCTTCTCTCTCTGGCCACCATGTGGAAAAGGTCCTTGCTTCCCCTTTGCCTTCTGCCATGATTGTAAGTTTCCTGAGGCCACGCGGAACTGTGAGTCAATTAAATCTCTTTTCTTTATAAATTACACAGTCTTGGGTAGTATCTTTACAGTAGCATGAAAACACAAAAATGCAGCCCCTCTTTTCTCAGAATATCCTCTAGGGTGTGCGTGTGTGTGAGGGGGGATTGGAGGAGTTTGGGCTTTTTCTTCTTCTTCATCTCGCTACCCTCCAACTCTATCTTCAGACCCTGAGGCTCCCCACAGAAACCACAAAGGATCATTTCGCTTCCCTTTGGAAATGCAGAATCTATTATGTTTTGGGGCACATCCCAAATAGACCCCTCTCCCACTGCCAGTTTCTTCCCTAAATGCTCCTTTTTTTCATTTGTATACACTTCAGGTTTCTCTAGGAAGCAGTGGCCCACAGAGAGCTGAGTTGGTTTCAAGAATCCAGGAGACGTACCTGGCTGCTTTCTGAGTGAGCTCCAGCGGGAAATCAGGACACAGTAATTGCAGCAAACAGTGATATTCTTTCATGGTCAGCAAATCTGAAGTGGAAATGGAGAGGAACACATTAGGTCTCTGCATTTCAAGTCACTGCCCTCTTTTTGTTCATTTCATGAATTTCAGACCTGGTCTTGGTAGAGCTGCTCTTTTAAAAGCAAGTCAGTGTTAAGGGTATGCTAGTCTCTAACCTCCAGGTGTGAGATTTTTAAGATCAATATTTCTACAAAGCTTTTCCTGGGTGGGAAGCATCCAGTTACAACATTTTGGCCAAAGGAGCTTCACTGGCATGAAAGTTGGTCGAGTGAAGAGAGCAAACAAGAGAGGCACCTTCATCAGCCTTCTTTGGGTTTCCCTGTATATAAAAATCTGGAAGAACAAGTCATTTCAAAGTCAGTTAAATCTGCTGAAATTCTCTGGCATGGTAACATTTCCCACCACATGCCCAAAGACCATCCACAGAATATCTGGAAGCAGTACTAAGGCAAACAGTCTTGCTGTGTATGGAGGAGAAGAGTATAGCATAGAATCCCACAGACCTCATTACTCTGTCATCCAGTACTGCAGCAGGCTGGCTTCTTTTGAATGCCTGAACACAAATCTGGTCATCCTATTATAGGAAGCCAAGACAAAGGTCCAAGATATACAGTCAAGGTAACCAAATGATTCCTGATATACAGAAGCAGTGCTTTGGGAGAGGTGAGCCAGGATGAGGCTCTGTGGTCCAGCAGAGAACCTAGAGAGGCGAATCTCAGAGAGATTTATAGGATTCCAAGGGAGAAGAAATACACTGATGCTTAAGTTATTTTGTTGCTGCATGTACTGAAGGCAAAAGATTTTAGATCAGCCAAGGAGTAAGAATGTGCAAGTATTATCATATACCAAAGCATTTCGAATATGGAAGGGCCCGGTGATGCTAAAGTGAGAGCAATCCACCCCGAAGCCTGCCTAACTGGGAAGAGGATGAGTGAGAGGAGGGAATCCAGAGGGCATGGCTACATTTGGGGAATGAAGATGATGATCATAGGCACTTGGTTTCTTTGGATCTAAGTTAGCCCAAGCCACAGGAATCCAGATCTTCTGCCCCTGTTAGTTCGGTTGATGCTTTTCCAAGACAAAAACCCCAAATCTCCAGGGAAAGGCCTGGGTTCCTAGTACTTTTTCATCAAAGCTCAATTCAAGGTGGGGACAGAGAGTTTGACTAACCACACTGCCAAAGTCAGAAACACCAAAGGAACAGACTCAGCGTCAATATAGGTCAAAGGATCAAGATGGTTTTGTGGCACTCTCCTCTTCCCACTCGCCTGACCTCGGGCACAGCCTGGCAGGAGGTCTTGTTCTTCAAGGGAGGGAGTCATCGCCACTCGTGGTCTCAGGCTTGGGGTGAGGAAAAAGGTGAAGGGAAGGGAGAAAAGCCACTGAATCTAATGTGTTCCCACTTTATTCTCACTCCAGAACTCCCCATCTAGAGAGAAGAGAAGAGTGATTTCTGGCAGGGCAGGGAGTAAATAAAGGAAAGTTCTATCTTTGAATCATCAGTGCTTTTCTAGGCTAAACTTTGGCGGATATATCTGATAGCATTCTTAGGGAGAGTCAGAGTGTTTCATAGGAACTTACATTTATCCCCCAAATTACCTACAAAATATCCTTGGGAAGATAACAGAATGAAGGAAAGTGAAAAAATGAGAGAGAGAGAGAGAGAGAGAGAGAGAGAGAGAGAGAGAGTTACTTGATTAAGAAAGACAATGCTAGGAATCAACATTAGCTTCCTGGTTTCTAGACCCTAGGCCCTCTTCAGGTTTTTGATATTATTCTAACTCATGTACTTCAAATACTTGCTTCTGAGGACAGAAGAATGATTTACAAAAATCACTGTGTGCTTCTCTAATACAACAAAAGCTCTTAAAAATATGAAAAACAGAATACATCCTGCTCACCACTTCTGGAACTTGACTCTTCTAAATGTTAAGTGAGGACAGTAGTCAGATAAAGAGATTAATGAAAATGTAAGCAAATAAACAACTTTTAATTGTGGAGAGAGTAGTTATATTATTGTTATTATTCTTCTTCCACGCAGACTCTGTGTTGGGGATGTGGAGAGAGGAGTTCTAATTCTACTGAAGTAGTGACCAAATAATATCAAGGGCAGATGATTTCTGCTACTTCGAGACACTCCTCAGCTGTTGTGCAGTGGGTATTGAGAGAACTATGAGTGGTAAGACTTGTTTCAAAATCAGAATACTGATAAGCATATGAGAGCTTGTTCCCTTTCTGCTCCATAGGCTAGGATTCAAATTTTGGCTCTGCGATTCACCAGGTATGTAATCTTGGGCAAATTGCTTAACATCTCTAAGTCTCAGTTTCTCATCTGTAAAATGCAAGTGATACCGACACTTTTCAGGGTTAAAGTCAATTATAAGACAGATGATGTCTATAAAGTGCTTAGCAGAATGTCTAGAACTTAGTAACATCAAACAGTGGGAGTTTGTTTTGGTTCTATTTTTTAAATTCTGGAGGCAAGGAGAAGAGAGGAGGAAGGTATTTGTTGCTGAGGTTTTTTTTCATTTTAAATTTTAATTAATTAATTAATTAATTTTGAGATGGGGGGCCTCACTCTGTTACCCAGGCTGAGTACAGTGGCACAGCTCACTGCAGTCTTGAACTCCTGAGCTCAAGCGATCCTCCCGCCTCAGCCTCCCAAGTAGCTGGGACTACAAGCATATGCCACCAAGCCCTACTCATTTAAAAAATTTTATAGAGACGGGGTCTCGTGCTGTCACCCAGGCTAGTCACAAACTTCCTACCTCAGCCTCCCAAAGTGCTGGGATTACAGGCATGAGCCTGGGTGTTGCTGAGTTTGGACATTTAAACACCTAAAAGTGTTCTGCCTTGAAAGTTCTCTGTTGGGTTGCCTGAGCCAAATCCGTTTTGAACACTCTCCTGCAGTGGCCACTCACTTCCTATTCCCATGTGCCTGCTCTGTTCCAGGCTCCCCATTATGATGAACAAGCTAGCAGTCCCCCTAGCTTCTGTGGCCTGCATTTGGACACCAGTTCACCCTAATGCTCCTGTCTATTTTGGGTCCTTTAGATCTTAGAACTGTCCAAGATCTCAAAGGCCCTCTCGCAGTCCTTTGTGCTCCAGCAATAACTGTAAAGAGAGTGAGTAGTCATGGAGATCTGTGCTCAGCTCTTGAATTAACTCACTTAGGCCAGGTGCAGTGGCTCATGCCTGTAATCCCAGCACTTTGGGAGGCCGAGGCAGGTGGATCACCTGAGGTCAGGAGTTTGAGACCAGCCTGGCCAACGTGGCGAAACCCCATCTCTACTAAAAATACAAAAATTATCCCAGTATGGTGGCAGGTGCCTGTAATCCAGCTACTCGGGAGGCAGGAGAATCACTCGAACCTAGGAGGCAGAGGTTGCAGTGAGCTGAGGTCACATCACTGCACTCCAACCTGGGCAACAAAGCAAGACTCCATCCCCCCCAAAAAAATAAATAAAAAATTTTAAAAAATTAACTCACTTAGCCTTCACAGCATACTACCTTATGAAGTAGACTCCATTATTCTCAGTACCACTTCACAGATGAGGATGAGAAAGCTTAGAGGGATGAAATAAGCTGGTGAGCAAGGAGAGGAGGGTCCAGGATAGGGGAGAGGAAGGGGACCTGTCTTCCCTGAGCAAGATCTCAGGCTCGAAGGGAGAGAAGGGAAGCTGATGGCAGGAGGGGCTTAACAATAATACAGTTAACATTTATTGAGCACTTCCTCTCGGGGAGGCACTGATCTAAGGGGTTTACATATGTTACCTCACTAATCTTCACTACTATTACCCTCATTTCACAGAAACAAAAACTCAGATTGTGCACACTTAAGAGGTAGAACTGGAATTCAAACCCAGGCAGTCTGGCTCCAAAGCCCACTCAGCTAACATTGTCAGCACCTTGATCTTATCAGCTATAATGTGTGAGGCTTAAGAGCTTGTTTTCTCCTCCAAACTAACTGCAGGAACTAAATAGCTCCAGATGAACTGGATCAAGGAGACAATTCAAGTGAATTGACATTTTCCACGTAAGAAACCGAGTCTTAAAGGTTCTAATTACTGTTAACAGCGAAGACTGAGGCTTCAGCACAGCAGCCTCAGTTAGGCCAGAGGACATGGGCTGGGGGACACCTGTGCTGGTGGCCACACCATGGTCTCTCATCCCCATCCTCATCTCATGCCCGCCACTCTTCTACCTGGCAGGTGCAGGGGAGTTAAGTATTGTGTATCAATAGACACTTTCTCTAGAAATCTCCCCACAATTAGAAGAGTGTCAGCCAGTAGGTCCTGCAAGTTCAAAGGCAAAGACATAATAAGGTTTTGGTGTAAGATCAAAATCAGAACACTCTCCACAAATTTGTGTGTCTCCTTTCATGGGTGGTCAGGCTGCCAAATTTTCTTCTTCTAAGCCTTGCACTAGTCTCACCAATTGTGTGGCTGGCTCCAGACCAGAGGTGTTTTACGCCGTTGATCCTATCTTCTCCAGAGGCAGCACAGCATAGCATTATGGTTAATAGCATGGACTTGGGAGTTAGATTGTTCGGGTCCAAATCCTAGCTTTGCCACTGACTTCAAGTTACTTGACCTTTAAGCTCTCCATGCCTCACTTTCCCCATTTATGAAATGACAGTATGAACACTGCAGAGTTGTTGTGAGTTAATGTAAAGTGCTTAGAACAGTGTCTGACCCATCATAAGGGCCATCTGTTAGTACTTGCTATTATTATTTTAGAAATAAAGAAACTAGGGCTCAGTGAGGTGTAATCATTTTCTCAAGGAAACAGCTAGGAAGAGGGCTGAGATTCAGACCTAGGCCTAGCATAGGCTCTGAAGGTCCTGCAAGTTCCACCCTAGCAGGTGGGATCCAGCTGGTTTGTGAAGGACTTCTGATGATAGGATTATTCACACTAGATGACTAACAGGCTTTATATCTAAGTTAAACATACAGATACCCTTCAGACAGGCCACTTTAAACAGCGCAGGGTAGTTGGGCAGGGCAGC